GCATTCTAAGAGGTATGCACTGATAGTTACAATTCATAATAACAAATGATATTGAGCATATTTCTTAGGTTTGTTTGCCATCTGTATATCTTCTTAGGTGAGATGACCATTCAGATCCTTTTGGTCATTTGTAAATAGAGCATTTCTTGCGTGTGTGTGTGTGTGTGTGTGTGTGTGTGTGTTTAGTTCTTAGTTTTTTTTTTAAATTGAAGTATGTTTAACATACAGTGTTATATTAGTTTCAAGTATACAACATAACAATTCAATAATTCTATCAGTGCTCATTGCAGTAAATGCAGTAATCATCTGTCACAAAACAATGATGTTACAATCACTTGACTATATTTCCTATTCCCTACTTTTCATCTCCATGACTTATTTATTTTGTAACTGGAAGTTTGTACCTCATAATCCACTTTATCTGTATTACCCATTCTCTCACCCTACCTTCCCTTTGGCAACTGTCAGTTTGTTCCTCATATTTAAGAGTCTGTTTTTTGCCTCATTCTTTCCTTATTTGTTCATTTTTTCTTAAATGCCACACATGAGTGAAATCATGTGGTAATTGTTTTTGAAGGAATTATTTCACTTAGAATTGTATCTTCTAGGCACATCAATATTGTTACAAATGGCAAGATGTCATCCTTTTCTGTGACTGAGTAGTATTCCATCACACACACACACACACACACACACACACACACACACACACACGGAAACACCATCCCCTACCCCAATCTTTATCCATCCATCAATGGATACTTAAGTTGCTTTCGTATCTTGGTTATTGTAAATAATGCTGCAATAAACATAAGGGTGAATATATTGTTTTGAATTAATGTTTTTGTTTTCTTTGGATACATTCCAGTGGAATTACTAGATCATATGGTATTTCAATTTTTAATTTTTTTGAGGAAACTCTATACTGTTTTCCACAGTGCCTGCATCTATTTGCATGTCCACAAACAGTGCACAAAGGTTCACTTTTCTCTACTTCCTCACCAATATTTGTTATTTCTTGACTTTTGATTCTACTTATTCTGACAAGTGTTAAATGATATCTCATTGTGGTTTCAATTTGCATGTCCCTGATGATAAATGATGTTGAGCATATTTTCATGTATTTGTTTGCCATCTATATGTCTTCTTTGAAAAAATGTCTAAAAAATAAAAGAAAAGAGTCTATTAAGGTCCTCGGACCATTTTTAACTGGGTCATTTGTTTTTTGGTGTTTAGTTGTAAAAGTTCTTTATATATTTGGATATTTGACAAAATATCCATAACCAATTGCAAATATCTTCTTCCATTCAATAGGTTTCCTTTTCATTTTGTTTTCTTTGCTAAGCAAAAGATTTTTATTATGGTGTAGTCTCAATTGTTACTTTTGCTTTTATTTCCTGTGAATAAGGAGATATCTAGAAAATGTTTCTATGGGTGATGTCAAAAAATCACTGCTTATGTTCTTCTAAGAGTTTTATGGGGTCAGGTCTCACATTTAGGTTTTTAATCCATTTGAGTTTATTTTTGTATATGGTGTAAAAAAAAAAGTGGCCCAGTTTCATTCTTTTCTATGTAGCTATCTAGTTTTCCCTAAACCATTTATTAAAGATACTGTTTTTTTCTTCATTGCATATTCTTAGCTTCTTTGTCATAGGTTAAGTGACCAAATCAGTGTGGGTTTATTTCAGGGATCTCTATTCTGTTCCACTCATCTATATGTCTCTTTTTGTGTCAGTACTATATTTTTTGATTATTATAGCTTTGTAGTATATCTTGAAATTTGGAATTGTGATACCACACACTTCGTTGTTGTTTCTCAAAATTGCTTTGGCTGTATGGGTCCTTTTGTGGTTCTATACAAATTGATCTAGTTCTGTGAAAATGCAATTTGTGTGTTTATAGGGATTGCACTAAATCTGTAGATTGCTTTGGGTAATATGGAATTTTTAACAATATTAGTTTTTCCAATCCATGAGGCTGGAATATCTTTACATTTGCTTGTGTCATCTTCAATTTCATAGTGTTGTATAGTTTTCAGAGTTTGGGCTTTTACTTCCTTGGCTAATTTTATTTTTAGGTACTTTATTCTTTTTGATATAATTATAAACGTGGTTGTTTTCTTAATTTCTCTTTATACTATTTTGTTATTAGTGTGTAGAAATACAACAGATTTCTATATATTAAATTTGCATCCTGTGATTTTATTAAATTCATTTATCAGTTCTATGTTTTTTGTTTTTTTTTTTTTTGGAGAGGGTGTTGGGTTTGGTGTATATAGAATCATGTTACCTATAGGTAGTAACAGGTTTACTTCTTCCTCACTTTTTCTTTTTCTTGTCTTATTGCTGCATCTAGGATTGCCAATACTGTTAAGTGAAAGTGGTAAGAGAGGACACCCTTGTCTTGTTCTTGATCTTAAAGGGTAAGCTCTCAGTTTTTCATCACGGAGTATGATGTTAGCTGTGGATTTTTTCATGTATTGCATTTATTACATTGAGCTATGTTCCTCCTAAATCTACTTTGCTAAGAATTTTTACCATGAGTGAATGTTATATTTTGTTGAATGCTTTCTTCTCCTTCTATGAGACAATATATGTTTTTCATCCTTCCTTTATTCCTTTCTTGTTAATGTGATGTATCACATTCAATAATTTGTAAATATCAAAGCACCTTGCATCTGTAGAATAAACCCCTTTTGATTGTGGTATATGAGTTCAGTTTGCCAGTATTTTGTTGAGGAGTTTTGCATCAATGTTCACCAGAGATATTGGCCTATGTGTTGTGATTGTTGTTGTTGTTGATGGTGATGGTGGTGGTAGTGTTCTTATCTGGTTTTGGTATTGGGATAATGCTGGACTCATGAAATGCATTTGGAAGCTTCTTTATTGTGTAATCTTTTGGAATAGTTTGAGAAAGGCAGGTATTAATTCTTTAAATTTTAGGTAGAATTCACCTGCAAAGCCATCTGGTCCTAGACTTTTGTTTATTGGAATTTATTTTTGGATACTGATTCAATTTCATTTCTAATAATTTTCTGCTAAAAGTTTCTATTTCTTCCTGATTCAGTTTTGGGAGGCTTTTATATTTTATGAGTTATTCATTTTGTCTAGTTTGTCCAGTTTATCATGCAATTTAACATAATATCCTCTTAGAATTCTTAGAATTCTTTGTATTTCTGTGTGCCAGTTGTAATTTCTCTTCCTTCATTTCTGACTTTGAGTCCTATCTCTCTTTTTATTGATGAGTCTAGCCAACAGTTTATAAATTTTGTTTAACTTTTCAAAGATCTGGTCTCTCTCTCTCTCTCTCTTTCTCTCTCATCTTTATTTCTGCTCCTATCTTTATTTGTTTCCTTCTACTGCCTTTGGACTTTGTTATTCTTTTCCTAGATCCTTTGGATCTAAATTTAGGTTGTTTCAGATTTTTCTACCTTCTTGAGGTAATATTGTATTGCTATAAACTTCCCTCTTAGAACTGCTTTTGCTGCATCCCAAAGATATTGGATCACTATGTGTTCACTTTGATTTGTCTCCATGTTTTTTTTTTTTTAGTAAATTATTATTAACTAATAATATCTGCATGTGTGTTTGTGTGTGAAATTAGGTGTTTTGTCGTCTTTGGCATTCTATTCAGACATCTGGATAAAATAAGGCATCACAGTGATTCAAATTACAAATCCAATTCACCTTGAACTTTTTCTGTTTTCTGGTCAAAGATTGTGTACTTACACAATCAAACAACAGGGTGATCAAACCTGTAAATTAAAAGCCAATTATGTGGAGAGAAAAAATGAAGGAGAAAAAAAAGACTCTAGTTGTCTATTTACTATCAGGATTTCCAAAAATAATATATAGGTAATGGATTGTTTTATTCTTCATTTCCTTGGCAACCAACTAGTTTTAATAATACTGAACATACCTGTGCTTTGCCTTACCTTAACTCATCAGTTTGACTTGCAGTGAGTTGTTGGTCCCACCATATTCATTTGTATTTGGCAAGGTGACAGCCAGCGTAAACCCTCCTTTGACAACTGGATGAGCACATTCTCCTATCCATAACTGTGCTCTTGAGATGATCACTTAACCCTAGTCACATCACTGAGGGCCAAGAAACATCCATTCTATTCAAAAACTTCTATATGTGCTGCTGGGAAAGTAAATTCTTCCACTTGCTCCGCTTGTGGTGAAGCTTTCGGGTACCACAAAGGTTGCTTAAAACTGACACTAAGAAAGTCAAAACCAGGCTGGGAGACATCATCTGAGCCCCAAATGCAGCTGTGCCTAATAATTAAGAATGTATTCCTACTCTTTAACTAGGAGCTTATTCACTATTCCCTTTCCTTGTAAGCCAAGAGAAGTCAGACTTTCTGTCCCTCACAAAGTCCTAACTTCAAGGATCCTGTACTTTCCTTCATAACATTTGTCAGAGTGTATTTTTATTATTTATTTAATGCCAGCCTCTCTTCCTAGACTGTAGTCTCTGTGCAAGCAGCAGCATCTTATTTATCCATATGCATCCCCAGAGCCTAGAATAGTAGTTCTGACCCTTAAAATTGAATGACTGAAAAAAAAATTCAGGCCAAGCATTTTCTTGAAAACTTAAGAAGTTTTCCAAAAAGCTTGGGAAGTTAACATTATGGGGCTAATTTTATGTGTTTGAAAGATACCTGTTGTTTCAACGTAATACTTACATGCTGAAATCACTTAAATTTACAAAGTAGTCATCTACAGAGTTAAAGATTGCCCATGAGCTCTATTTTGAATGATACCAAGCACCTCCTTTTTCCTGTATGAACTTGAGCAAACTATTTTTCTAACCCTCACTTTGTTTACCAGTGAAAGGCACTCACCTCAAGGCAGGTACCTGTAGGTAATAGCCTCTTGGTAAACTGAATTACTATTAGTACAAAGGGACTTACCAGATAACCAGAGAAGAAAAGGGGATATATATGCTCAGTTCAAAAACAAAGCACCTGAGTGGACAAAAGCAAAGGCCAGGGCTGCATAACACTGACATTTTTATTAGAATTCATTTGTAACAAATGGAACTTGTGTCAGCAAAGAACTGATTTTCATACAGACTTCTTTCGCCACCAATGTAACGAAGTAAGAAAATAAAAAGCACGCCTTTCATTCTGTAAAACATTTACGCGTACTACTAATTAGAGGTAATTGTATTTTTTAACAAGCCATTTTACAAGTTATTTTTTTTAAATTTTCAGTCTATGCATCCAAAACGAGAGCAAAGAACACAAGTGTTATTATCTTTGTAAAGACACTCCAAGCTTGAATGGCAAAGCCACATAACAGATGGATAGGATGGATCTGTAGCCTTCTGATCTCTGCTGGAGTATCAGGGCACCCATAACCCAAAGGAAACCAAAAGCCATAAAGGAAACAGAAAAGGGAATTAAAAATAAAAAGGAGGGACTAAAACAAAGCAAACCCAAAAATAAACAGGGAAGAAAAAAATCTCTACATTACTGAAGAATTTTTCCCTTCCTGTGTCTATGTTGTGTTATTTACATACACAATAATGAATTTCTGAAGCAGTTTCTTACAGATGGGTTCAAGTAATAACATTATTGGGTGTAGAATCAATAGGGCAGTGCATAGTACAAAGGTATAGAAAGTGCAAAGTTCCCTAGAGGCCCTTCCCTCCCCTGGCTGTCCTTGCCGTTGTCTAACCATGCAAATCATTTTTAAAAAAGAGCTAAAATAAAGTTCTGTACAAATCACTTTTTATATATTTTGATTTTTTTTTTACCATTGTAACTAATTACAAAATTATACATAACTACACGTACATAGGTAAATAATAGCACCGTACTGGTTATGATGATGAAAATAATTGGAAACTTGAAAGTTTACGGCAATGGTAGATAAAGATGTTTACCTGGGAAAATCAAACTAGAATGCCTGCACAGAGTGGAATGCACATCAATGACAGTAAGGGAGTTAGTTCTTGGAACAGCGCCTAAACAGTAAGATACCTAGATAGTCTCTGCCTCGTTTGTGTGGTATGCATACCATGAATTTTCTTCTTGTGATTTTTCTCCTCTTTCCCGTTGCCAAATGGACAGTTTTTGCTTCAGGGAGAGAAACTGCTCACTGGCCAGTCTTTCTAGTGTGTATTAGACACCATCATATTCTACACGTCTAACGTGGCATGTCTGCAAGTCTGTCTGACCCCCTTTGTTTCACTAAATGAAAATCACAGCACTCAGTAATCTGGCACTTGGATAAATCTCCAAAAGATACAAAGTAAAAGAAAACAACAACAGATCCACATAGTGCACATTCTTCTCTGGTTCTGATGTAGGTTAGAGAGTCTCATTCTGAGGTAGCCTTCTAGATACTTTTTTTTTAGTATTATATATTTTTTCCTTTTTTTTCTTTCTTTTTATTTTTTTATACAAAAGTGCTCTAATAAGATGCTTGCACGTGTTTGGTCTCTTGGATTTCAATCTACTAGTAATGGTAAAATGTGGAAAACAAAAATCCTTGTATGCTGAACATCGAATGAAGCTAAAATTAATCCAAAATACTCTATACCAAAACTCTTTAAGAGTTCCTTGGATATTTTTAGGGTTCTTTAAAATCATATAAGATATGGCATACTTATGCCATTATCCATGGCTTCCTATAGCAATTATGTTGGAAAATTTGTAATTATATTGGAAAATAAATTGTTGTTCAATTTCACTTTTTAGAAAAATCTTAATGGACTAGTAAGCATATTCCAGAGTTGACAAAGAGATATTTGTCACTAAAATAAGTTTTGTGCAGTTACTGCATGTTCCAGAACAGATTTGGAAAGGACGCTAAGTAAAACAAGTAGCTTTTCCTGATGTTGGCAATCATGAAAGGAAGGGCCCTGATTATCCAAGTGCTTTGGGCTGGTACAATCACTAACATCCCCGACTTAGTTGAAAACTAGGAATGCATATTATTCAAAGAGTTTTTGTACATGTGGTAAACAGATAATTCTTTAATTGGAAGAATAACATATATGAACAACTAATGAAAATAGGAACCAAAAGCTAAAAAGAAATGCTATTAAAATAGGCATCAATTATAAGGCACTCTAAATGCATAACTAAAACCAAAAGAAAATGAAGGACAGCACTTCCCAGGAGTGCTATATGCCACAAAATGTTTCTGACTGAACAGAGTAACATGAGTTTGGCTTTGCCCCTGTTACATATCATAAATGCAAGTTTCATAGCACATACTATAGACAATACACGATTGAATACATTGTTTTTTAAACAACTTGATAGCTGATATATTACAACATTCTCCCCTCCTAAAGGGATATGCACTGACCTTTCCCACATGCACACCTCTTAGATATTTAATATTTTTTATTGCACTAGAGTGTTAGAAATATTGAAGTTTGTTGGAAGCCTGGCTAACAAAAGGATATCTGTGAATATGAGTAGGTGGGTGGGGGGAGACTGGATAGTAAATTAGGGGGTGAGGCTTGACAATCACTGATGTGCATTCCTCATTTCCCTTAAAATTAAAATTTTATGAAATTAAGAAATACCCATATGTCGTAAAATTAATAAATTGAGAAAGATGTTTATAATAGCTTTTCTACCTAAAAAAAGCCCCAGAAAACAAAACAAAACAAAACAAAAACATACAAAAACAAAATGAAATCATGGAAGAGCTGAATGATATCTGTATCTATCTTTTTGTGTGGACACACTGTTTATATATACATAGACACCCCTGTAAAATATGGATATATATGTATATATGTTAGCAGCAACTTTATACTTTGCGCCTCCCTGTTGATTCCAAAAACAAAACAAAACAAAACAAAGTTCTTTTTGACTATGAAAAGAATGGGTACTTTCTCACCAACCAAAACTGAACAGAAGTGTAAAAGTAATCTGACAAGACCAATACTGTAGATTAAGAATATTGCACAAAAATGTGCAAATGTTCAAATTATTTGATATTTCTACAGCAAGATATTACAGATAACAGTTCTACAGCTTAAAAAAACCTACAATTTGGAAATAAAAAATGAAGAGTTATGTAACTTTTTAAAATTCACTTTATCGAATGATACATTTCATTAAAAAAAAGTTTACACAGTTAAAAATGAAGCACAGGTCAGCAGTATCTTTACAATACTAAAAAACTAAATCAAAGACTTTCTTTTGAACATTTCCCCCCATTCCCCCTGAAATGTTATTATGAGCAGTATGGTGGGAAGGGGCGATGTCGCAGCAGAGTCCATTTTATCATATGAGAAGCCACACCAGCAAACATCTTGCACTGAACTGCAGGACTCTGGCAATTTCTCCTCACACCTAACAAGCAATCCTGGACAAGATGATGGTTCTTTGCTGTGATTTCTTCTTCCCTTTATTTTGAATCCTTGAGGTATCTGTAAATAAAATCCTTCAGATGCCTCGTCAGTCAGGATTCTCTTTATTATTTTTCAGGTTAGATTATTAAACTGTGAATTCTTGGTCCACCCAGAAGAGTTTGTTTTTATTTTGTCTTGTTTTTAATAGTTCCACTAAGTGGTAGTTAGCTAGAAGTTAAGAAGGACTTCTCGAGTGCCCTGTATGGCTCAGAAGAGACTCCGTGGATACTGAAGGGCCTGCAGTAAGAACCCAAAGGGGGTCAGGGGTTTCTACGTTGCATAGTGATCAAAGCTGCCCAGGTACTCCAGTGCGGCCCGGTAGCAGAACTGGTACTGGTCCTGAAGGAGATCAAGCGTGTTGGAAGAAACAGGACAAGGGGCCATGAGTACATTTTAATAGAAAGATGGGGGAGAAGAAGGGGAAAAATCATTGCAGAGAGGAAGGGAGGCAAACCATGTGAGACTCTTGAATGCTGAGAACAAGCTGAGGGCTGATGGGGGTAGGGGAAGGGGGGTGATGGGCATGGAGGAGGGCATTTGTTGGGATGAGCACTGGGTGTTATATGGAAACCAACTTGACAATAAATTAAGAAAAAAACAAACCAAAACAACAACAAAAAACGAAAACGACTTTCAGCCAAGTCATGTTTGCACCTGGGAACTGTGAAAAATATTGAAAGCTTCATAAAGGAGATGAAACTTGACCATGACAGGAAGTGACTTACAGCCCCAGAGGTTCAGATGTATTGACATAAGGTAGTGAAGTAGGAAGGAACTATGGTTTTCAAAAAAGTCAGATCTTGATTTTTTTATCTCAGTATAATGTGTGTGTCCTAGAATAAAACCCTCTAACCACGGTGTTAAAATGACTTTCATGCAAAAAAAAAAAGGAAAGAAAAGAAAAGAAAGATGAAAGTGAAATTTCAAAAACAGTTACATCTGGATGGGGGCAAAATTACTTCTCTTATCAATTAATTCATTCCAATGATCAATATGCTTTAGTGAGCAAAGAATGATCAGCCACATAGGATGTTTGTTCACTTCACCAATCAATTTGACTAAAATGGTCTCCTAATTATGAAGTAGTGACAGCTGGAGTGAACATTATCTTCCAGACAAGTGTGAGCTGTTCTCCAAGCAGTAGCAAACAATTACCACCACTGAACATGTGACTATACCACTGTTGTCTTTTACAACTATCTGCTTGTTTGTGATAACTTAATCTCAAGTTTACGTATTTGCCTCTCTTTAGGCTAATTCAGACACATGTTGTCCTGAGGAAAATCTAGATTCATTTATCTTCTGGACTATTGAAAAATAATTTGAATAAAAAATTGTATCAGATAGTAGACCTTAGTACCTGCAATCACAATTACCCACCACTGTTTCTGATGTTCTTATTTAAGTAGGGGTGAGGAACAGTAGAGCCATTTACAGAGGGCTCTGAACTTTTAAGCTTTTCATCCCCTGAAAATGCCATCAAGACTGGCTGCCTGTATAAAAAAATACCCATGTCATTTGGCCTAATTCAGTGTGATTGCTAGTTATCTGTTCTGGAAAGGCCCACATTAAAATAATATAACTTGAAATATGTCTTTTTTCAGGTAGGGAAGAACACTGTCATATTGGAATAAGTTGGGGCATTGTTGGAGAGATAGAAAAAGTAGAATTTTTGCCATAAAAGAAACTTATTTTTAGTAGCCAATGGGGCTGAAAGTAGATAGTTTCTATTTTGCTTAAATGTGCATTTTTTTACAATAAAAATGGTAATGCAAAATAAATGGAGTTTGCTTTCCTATGTTGTCACAGTAAGCTGCTTGGCTAAGTGTTAAAGGGTTTTTAAACATCCAATTTCCCTCTTCTACCCCCAGCACCCATTAAGTTTGTCAGGCCGACATCATGCTTTGGGCAGTGCAAGCCAAATGCTTGTACTATTCTGAGATCACAATTTGGAAGATATCGCAGGTAATGAATTTAGGAATACATATAAATTGTATAATTTGGTGGCCTTTTGAGGAAAAGAAACACTCACTCATTAGAAATAAAGTCAATAGGCCAGACTGGCTATATCACAAATTCATATTATTCTAAAAAAATTTAGGACAGAATATGGAGTATTAATGTCTCTAGGGCCTATCCAGGATCCAAATATGTAAAGTGACCATTAGGAGAGTAGAGAAGTAAAATGGATTGAGGGTCTGCTCTGCATCAGGCACTCTGCTTTATATATAAAATTGCCATTTTTATAGTGCAAAAATGGTCAAACAGTAACAATTTGTCATGGTTAAACCCAATACATAATCAAACATGCAAAACAACTGTAAAATATTCAGTGTCACTCCCATATAGAGAGGGGAAAAATGTTCAAAAAGTACTAAATGACTGGATGCTTTTCCTACAGTATTTTCCTGTATTTTGCTTTGGTGTTGAGAGTCTCTGGACTCTACGAGGTCCTGGCTAATAAAACGTATTTGGCTCTTGAGATGTGACAAACTCATGGAGATTTTTCTCACCTCTGTCTGTACCATGGCTGGTCGTTGTGTTCTTAACATTTTGACAGTCTGGAAGATATCTACAACACCTTCATATCTCATTCTTTCCAAAACAATGCTTAGTGTTATGAAGACTCCAGTTCTTCCAACGCCCGCACTGTCATAATGACAAAGATGGCATTACCGGATGCGACGCTCATAGTCTTTACCACATTTGCTTGGAAGCACTTGCTTCCATATAAGAACAGTTTCCTCCACACCAATGGTTAGGAAAATGTGGTGTTGCATTCACAAAAGGACTACCCTTAGGATAATGTGTCATGGTAAAATGTGAGAATGAATATAGAGTAATTAAGTCCTACATAACACAATGGCTTTTCAACTGGGATTACACTCCATTTTGGTAAGAGGAAGGAAACACAAATATTGCAAAATAATAGATGCAGGGAAAGGTAAATCAAATGTAGGTTAATATTCTTCATGCAGATACTGAAATTGTAGAACTTGCTTGCTTAATATTTTTTAAAGTATGAAATAATTGTGATAAGGTAAGATAAACTTCAATTTTTCTAGTGTATTATTTACTTCTTGTAGTAACTTACAATCTATGCAGGATATTCCATCACTTAGACATGTCAATAAATAAGAAGGCATATAGAGTATTCAAATTTAGACATTAGTTTCAATTTGAGAAAACAGATCCTGTTTTTTTTTTTTTTAAGATGAGATTCTTATTCAGTCTTTAGAAGGGTTGGTGAATGTCTTACATGTTCAGATGGTGTAAATGTATATATATATTTGTTCTTTATGCTGAAAATTAGAACTTTAACAGATTCTCAAGGGGGTCTATAACCTTAAAAATAAGCTATATGTTTATCTACAAGTTTTAGGTGTTCAGGAGCTAAAACACTGGGATTCTTTCTACCACATTAGCAAGGTTTTGAGTTTGTTTTCTTTGTTGTTTTAAGATAATTACAGAATGTTCACTGCAGCAAGAGAAGAAAATTAATTCATAGCTTTTGTGCTCTTAAAAAGTAGGAAAGCATCTGGAGGTTTAGGTAATGAGGAGAAGAGTGAATAATCTGAAAAATCCCTACATTTTTGGATCCTAATTAAACGGCATGTGTAATGCTTGGGTACAGGCTGTAGAAAATGGATGGATTCATTTACTTGGGGATGTAGCTGACAGGCATATATAAATAGTGTGTCCCTTTATAAACTGGGTTTTCTAAAGAGCCCAAACAGAATTGTTAAGTACAGCTTTAAAATCCATGGGCAGTCTTTACAAAGTGGGTGAAGGTGTCCAGGAGCAGTCAAGGTTCTCTGTTAAGAGTAAATGACCTTGAAGGTCCCTTTCAACCCCCTTTCAACCTTGAAAGTCTCTCTTACTCTTGAGAGGCTGTGATTTATGATTTTTTTTTTCCTGAATGGTCCAGGTATTCCAGAGTCTATTTAACCTTGATTTGATTGCTTGAATGTATCAAAATATAGGATCTCTGGATTTCTACTAGGTGCTTTCAATAAAATAACAACTTCTGAACTTAATGACTTCATAATGCAAGTTTAATAAGTTGTAAGTGAGGTACATAGTATTTTAAGGATGTTCCTAGATAAGAGAAAATATCTAGCAGTCATATATATATATATATATATATACTATATATAGACTATATATATATATAGACATTAGTTATATATATATACATATATGTATATGAATAACAGGTCATAAGTAAACTCCTTATACTAAATAAGTATTTAAATCATTTTGTGATGGCAAAAGCAATAGGAAGTAACACACATTTATACACTTAACCTTATGGCAATGTCTAAAGTTAAAAATATACATCAAATATATCCTTTGTCATAGCTTATACTAGAAAAGTTTGAATTGGCATTTGGGCAACTTACATAGAAAGTTAAGGGGAATACTCAGTTAATTTAAGTACAATCTATACTATCCACTCTGTCTGAATATTGGGGTCCATATGTTGTTATCTACCATTTTTTTAAGCAAAATAGATTTTTACAATAAAAAAATAAAGAGATTAGAAACTGAGACTTTAAATTGCCAGAATCTGAAAATATATTTGTTTAAGTAAAATTAGGTGAATTCCTTTCATCAGAAGGTTTCTGGATAACAACTTCCAAAAGCACTAAATTTATGGTGAGTGTCCTTTCTGAACCGTTTACTTGCTATTTCTATTAACTTCAATGACTTGAATTATAAAATGCCATGGAAACTATTGAACATAATTAACTTGAAGGTACTTCATTTTCTGGTATAGCAACAATTTTCAAGCAAACTGCAATTTTAACTGAGGTACCATTCTAATCATTTACTGACTGGCAAGAATTAGTATTATCATTAAGGCTTGATAACTATTTATGATTTTCCTAAAAAGACAAACACAGGAGATAGAGAAGGATAGTTATCAGTGTAATCCTGTGGAAGTAAAACAAGTAAGAAATGATTAACTGAACAAATTATCATGAAGGGACATGCCAACAATTCCTGCTAAGGTAAACTAGGCAAGGGAAAACACAGTTTGGTCTTTGTCACAAGATGTAAAATTTGGGGATAAAAATCTTACTTCTTGTTACTTTCATTTTTTTTTTCTTTTTGGAAAGACAGAGAAATGAGACCTTGCTTTAGATTTTACAACATATTTCTGAGAATAAAGTCTCAATTATGCTGATTCACTGAAATAAGCTTGTACTGACAACGAATAGACAACAAGGCACATTTTTATAGTTATTATCACACTCATCAGAAATGGAAACTCATCATTCTTGATGCTTAGCTTACCTGCAATGGACTGAAATGGGCCCATCTTGGCCAAACTGCTCTTTTGTTTTATGTACTTGGCCAATGAAGTCAATAAATCCTTCTCCAGACTTTGGCACTCCTTGCTCTGGCCAGTCAGTGAACTGAAACTGCCTCACTGTTCGGGACTGTCCGTCCTTTACAAAGAAAGCCACGTACCCCGCCACAGAGGAGGATGCCAGGAAGATCCAGCCAGTGTACAGACCACAGCAGCAGGAATGATTTTTTTCCAGAAAGAAAAAAAAAAAAAAAAAGAGGTGGGAGGAGGGGGAGGAGTTAGAAAAATGTTTAACTAGAAATTTAGTCACGTGTGTATCTTACTGTTATTAACACTGTCTATATTTACATATATTTAAATTGCAATTTCAATCTGGCAATGCCCAAGTAAAAATCTGGGTTCTTGTAAAAAGCCATTTAATTCCCATATTAGTAAATGCTTCCATGATCCAATACTTGCCTTCAAAACCAAGGTGGAACATACATACTCTATTTCAAAAATTTCAGAAATCAATAACTTAATATTGAAAAGAGCATCTAGGCATGTCATCCAGACCAGAGATTTTGCTATTGTTATGATAACTTCCCATCTGCTGTACTTCCTTATATTTAGCATTGTCAAATAACAAATAGTGACACTGAATGGATCTGACACCAACTGGGTAACTGTTAACCTGGATGCCCCACATGGCTCAGAGGCATACAATTTCTAGCCATGGTGGTACATAGCATGTGTTATGCAACTATGCTGTTGTGTGGGAAGGAAGTAAAATGTCCCTCAAGGAGAGAAAAGAGATTATTAGCAAATAAACACTCCATTCTGAAAAAAGGCTCTTTTGGCTGACCACAAGAATTAGGCACTGTGGTGGGCTTTAACAGACAGACCAATGGAAAGAAAACAAGCTGGATATAAGAGCAATCTTTAAAGTGATTAAGCAAAACTGCTCTGACTCATGAAGTATAAATGATTTGAGAAAGAGCTACTAATGTGCTTCTGATTCCTTCTAGAACAGTATTTTCAGAAGCATAACAAAAACAGAAGAGACCTTTTTTTTTTAATTGTAGGAATAAGAATTATGTCCATCGACTTTCTTCTCTGAATCCACTGAGAGGGAGAGAATCCAAATCCCAAGCTTGGAAAGACTGATCCCATTTGCAGAGGCTCTGCTCCCAGTTGAGGCTTCAATTTGTTCCTCCTTTCCATTTTTGCAACACCACTTTCCCCTTTAAAAGGCTTTGGACATGGGTGTGCATGTTTCCAAGGTTCCGGTTAAACAGACAGAGACCCAATCTTTCTCATTCAGTCAGATTGAGAGGAGGGGATGGCTTAGCTTGAGATTGGCACACATCAACTAGTCTTGTGTTTTCCACAGGAAAAGGATGTATTCCTGACTGTCATCATTTGATAAAATAGGAAGATCACATTAACTTTTTGGGAATGGAAGAATATGAAAATAACTGCTTGGCCCCATAACTAACTTATGGATGGTAACCATGGGAGCATGATTTACTTCCCTCTGTTTCTGGAAAAGGTTTGGGAAGCACAGGAAGGAAGCCAAAGGCTAGGTAATGCAGATTTTTCCTCCTCTAAGTATCCTGGGGATTTCATTTCTGACTACAGTTGCTTTTAGCAGCAAGAAGAGGTCATGTGCACAAACCCTTACTATTTGGAGGAGAGACCAGCTGACTCCATTTAAAGGTTACCTGTTTAACAATACTGTCTTCCAAGTGCCAACTCACTCTCTAAACCGCTAAGTTCAGATTAGAAACACACGAGGAGCACAAACAGCAAATGCTATGGCAGCTAAGAAAATTATAAAATCATAGGGAGCCTTTAAAAAAAACCAGAATTTGAACAAATTCTTACTTTAATATTTCTTCTGCTTTTTGTGATCAGATTTAATTGGGCAAGGGAGGAGTAGTAAAGAAGGTGTGCCTGCTATTTGCAGGGCCTGACCACCAGTCTTTACAATCAGAAATGGTTGGTGAGTTTGCTTGGAATGTACTTAAGGTTTTCACTCACATATCTACCTTCAAATTCTGAAGGGCACATTGTATGTATGTTTGTATGTATGTATGTATGTATGTATGTACGTATGTATTTTAGACAATGGAGTGGGTCACCAAAACATGCATACTTGGGCAACTTAAAAAACTTCAACCTATGGGGTGCCTGGGTGGCTTAGTTTGTTAAGCGTCCGACTTTCGCTTAGGTCATGATCTCACGGTTCATGGGTTCGAGCCCTGCGTCGGGCTCTGTGCTGACTGCCAGCTCAGAGCCTGGAGCCTGTTTCAGTCTGTGACTCCCTCTCTCTCTGACCCTCCCCTGCTCATGCTGTCTCTCTCTCTGTCTCCTAGAAATAAATAAACATTAAAAAAAAAAAAAAAACTTCAACCTATGGACTTAACTGCTATCTTGAGTATAGTCACCTTTAGAGTAGTTAAGATTTCAGACTTTCTGGGATTAACAGGTCTGTCACCTGGGCCAACTAGCCTGCTAACCAATTTCTCCTTCACTTTAGGCCAACAGCCAGGACACAGCTTTGGGGATTAGCAGACAATCTCTAAACATGAGTATTGGTTGGGAAAGCTGCTTTCCAGAAAAAACAGTGGATCAAGTAAATAGCTCTATCCAGGAGTTTTATTCAGCCCACCTACTGTGACAGTTCCAAAAACATAGCAAGGCTTTGGACTGACCCTGCTCTCTCCTAAGATATGTTTGTAATCATGGTTTGAAAGTGGCCAAAGGCAAGGATATTAAAGTTTATGCATAGAACATCTTACATCAAGGCTGAACCTTGGACTCAGCAATCTAGATAAGACATGCAGAATGAAAATTAGCCAACAAGGGTCATGGGTGCACGGCTCTCATGGACAGACACATTATCACACTGAGGAATAAACCATGCCAGGAATCAAATTAGAATGTGCAAAGCTTATCAGAGTCTTCTAAAGAATGCCATTTGCTCTGCAGGTTTAAAATCATACCAAATTAACCTCTAAGCCCACATGACCTAAAGGGCTTTGCAAAACAACAACATATTTACAGCCTCAAGTAATGAAGAAGTCAAAAGAGCTCCAAAGAAAATGATCTGAGAAAGTGAATGTAAGCACAGCCAACCAATCAGTAAATGCTTCCCAGGGTACACACTCACCAAGTGTATCCCCAAAGTTGGGCTGCCAGATGTTACATTTGAATGGAAGCCAAGCCTGGATGTGAGGATACTTGCCAGACAGAGGAAAAGTTACTCTTATATTAAAAAACAAAGCAGTCATCCAAGATCAGTTAGTACTTTGGGAGAGTATGGCCACTTGGCAGATATTTCTCCAGAGATACTTATTTATTTTGAGAAAGAGCACATGCATGGGCAGAGAGAGAAGAAGAGAAAGCATCCCAAGCAGGCTCTGTGCTGACAGCACAGAGCCCAATGTGGGGCTCGATCTCAGCAACTCATGAGATCATGACCTGAGATGAAATCAAGAGTTGGACACTTAACCAGCTGAGTCATGCAGGCATCCCCCCAGAAATGTATTTTGGACTGCTTTTCAGCCAATGGTTAAGAGCATACGATTGTGCCAACTTACCCTGGCATCTGTAACCTTGAATTCTCTTAGGATATATTGTGGCATGTTGTACTCTGCCATGGGATCTACAACAAAGTACTGGTATCTTGCAGATCGTTCTGCTGGCCAGTATTGGTGACATTTCTCCTAAAAGGAGAGAGGATTAGTGTCAAATTATACAAAGTACAAATAAAATATCATCTATCATCTATCAATCTACATATTTATTTCCCTCATTAAAAAAGTTCAACATTCAAGGCCATTCCAGTTGCATGTGATGCATTTTTCTCTTTGAAGTCATAAATTCCCTGAGAAGAGGGAAATCATGTGGTTTAATATTTGCCCATGGCACCAAACACAGAATTGGCATACAGTAGGTTATTAATACATATCACATGGATACTTTGATAGGGTAAGTATCTTCATACCTACAAGTTCTCCAAATATTGACATCAGTTCTTGGATATAATGCTGGCCCTATTAATCATGCATTGCACCACCAGAGTAGACTTGTATCATTGTGTTATGGAATAAAATGAACTATCAAGTGTGAATGCAGAAAGAAACTTCTATATTGATCTGGTCTAGTCAGCTGAGGAAACTGGAGACCAGGTAGTTTTAATGATTTGGCTGAATTGTCCAGTGTCAACTCTCAAGAGTCAGAATAGTCAAGTTACTTTCTAAGTTTGGCATTTTTAGGCTCTCTTTATGGGATTTAAGTGATGGGTTTCAGATACATCTCTACCATTTAATTTATACAAAGAAGAGAGAAAGAAAGTATCTTAAGCAAATATAGCAAAATGCTGTATCTATTGAATCTAAGTGGTAGTTCCTTAGGCATTTCTAATACTACTTATATTATTTTATGAGAGAAAGAGAGAAAGAGAGAAAGAGAGAGAGAGAGAGAGAGAGAGAGAGAGAGAGAAAGAGAGGCTGATGGGGGCTTGATCCCATAACTGTGAGATCATGCATGACCTGAGTGGAAATCAAGAATCAGGCACTTAATCAACTGAGCCACCCAAGTGCCCCTCATACTCTTTTATGTATTTTTCAGAATAGTCATTTTTAAAAAGTAGAACTGAGATTACCAGATTATATCCTTGGAAAAAGTATGTAACTATTCAACATAGGGTAGAGGGTTGGAAAGTAAGAATTTGCTTCACAGATGTAAGGAAGTCAAGGTCTTCCTTGAGAAGTGAGAAATTAGGGCATATTTGTTCATGAAACTCCAGCTTGTCCAGAGTGAAAAGAAAAAAGACTGCAGAGAATGAGGACCTATGTCAAACAAGGGCATCCGCTTATTTGCTCCTATGATTATGCTTCACTGGAAACAAAATACTAGCTCTTTCTCCAAAACACATAAATTAAAGAACTTGATGTGGCTTTGCAAGTTAAAAACCAACACAAGAGTAATGAATGGCCCAGAATGTGACCAGAGAACTCCACATTTCAAAGAAATGATGCTGGCCCTTGGGTTATTGAAAAGAAATCATCATTTCTTTATGGTGAATGTCTTATGAGAAGACACTCACTCTGCCCATCTCACGCAGTTTGGTGAGCATCACAACGATGGTGGAATTGTGTTCCCAAAGCATCCGCCAGAAGTCTTCGGTGGTCTCTGCCAAGGGCCCTTGGGTAGCAATGTAGGCCTTCTGTTGTCTGAATTACAGAGAATAAAAATAGCATGTTAAATTAATCAAGGAACATGCAAAGTTCACATATGATATGTAAACATCAAACTCATTGATGAAAACTGAAAAGATATTACCATTGCAATTGCAGTAAAAGTCCATTAAGATTGTGTAATCAAATAAGAATGTTTAATACATTTGGGGAATTTTGCAAAAGAAATTGCTTTGTTAATATTACAATGTATGTCTTTATCATTATTATTTAAATTTTAGTGCAATGCTAATAACTCAGTTTCATGTATCATACAAATCACTTAAGAAACACTGGTGTGGCTTCATTTCGTGGAAAGGACTCTTACATAATCTATTAAATTTATGAAATAAATCTTCTTTATTAACTCTTTTCACACCAAATGGCTTCTGAAAGAAGAGTGCAGAAGGCCAGACTAAAGACTCCATGACTGCTTATTCTTACTCCTACCAAAAATAATAAAAAACAAATACCAAGGGACTGGATGCTGACCTATGCAGAAAGAAGATGTTTTGAGTTGAGATGAAATTCATTCTGGCTATGAAACTGGGGCACATGTAAATATCAAGGCTTTGGACTGTCAGGGGAACAAGAGTATATACCTGTATCCATCAATAAAACTGGCATTGATGTAATCAGATCCTTCTACTCCTCGGATAGGCTGCAGGCATACCCTTGTGGATTCATATGGCATAATATTAACAAGGCGATTTTTGAATTTATTACATGGAAGATTGGCACTGATGAATCTTGAGGTGTGAGCTTTAGAGCTGGCTAGACGCTGTTAAATAGAAAAAAAGAAAAAAATCTGACAAAGATAATTTTAGCCTACGGTTAGATGTAATGTACCCAAGATTTCCTCTTTAGAGGAAAGCTTTAAAGTAAAGCTTTTGTTTATTTTAAAGTAAAGGACTCTTCACACTGCCTTGCTTTTCACTTCTACCTAATGATTCCATATAGTCTACTGAGTTTTTAAATATGTTTTGAGAGTATGGGATCTCTCAGTTTAAGTTAGGGTACAAAAGAGCTTGAGGTATTGTTAAGAAGCAAAGGACAGAGAAAAGGGAGAGAGAAAGAAAGTGTTTTATAGTCAGACACCTGAGAAGGTCAAGTGAATCTTGTAACTTCACAAATTTGAAAGGTTAAGAAAGTGAGGCCACTACTCAGAGACAACCCCAGAATGACTTGCTCCTGAATTACCACATCACATCCAATATCATACCTTAAATTCAAGCTCCATTCCTGTGACATTCTCTCCTGCTTCTATTTGTGTCAGCTTCTGAATGTAGGCATACAAGTTTCTAGCTGGCACTTCGGTATTTCCACAAGTCACTGCTTCTAACAGTGCATCATGGATAAAGATGTATTGGTCTTCTGTTTGAACCATGTAATTCCTCTGGGCTCTCATTAAAGTTACATGGCCATAAATATCTACAGTTTTTTCATGCTTTATTCTTTCTAACATGGCATCTATTACGATGAAACAGCCAGTCCGGCCAACTCCCGCACTACAAGAAAAACAAAAGGAAAGTCCAAATAAATCTACCAGGAAACAAACACATAAAAAATTCTTTTCATTCTTATTAACTAAGTTTTAAACCCATTAATTCTTTCAAACTAGCTATTGGGATTATTTCAGAGCTCTCTAAAATAAAAAGTATTATCAAGTCAAAATAACCAGAGGGTAGGGAATCAAATATCAACTATAATTAATTTGGTTTCAAAATGTAAATCCATAAAGACTACGATTCTTTGATCATGTAACACAAAGCAGACATAATTTTGAAACTGTTATTTAAAAAGCACATTTACGTTTGTTTTTTATTAGAAGGCATTTTATAAATTGGTTAAGAACTAACTAGACTATATCTTTTGGCAAAACTTCTCCATTTATTTCAGTTCAATCTGTGAAATAAAATCTAGAAAATCACTCAATTTGAAATATTTCATATTCTAAAATGAAGCCAGGAAGTTCTAAAACTAGCTTAGTGGAAAATATATAATTAAAAATGAACTGCTATTTCACATGAAAAAAGGTGCAGGTAGTTTTCAATGGAAATAAATTCCTAATTAAAAAAAAATCACTAGAGAGTTTAGGCAAATTTTTCTTCTTTTCCAGAGTTGAACATTTTTTGAAATTCCAGGTGAAATTCAAGTATTCTGTGTGTGAAAATAGAAGCTTCAATCTTTGTTATTGTAGACGCTCTGAGGCATTTTTTAAACTCCATTACTTCTGGACTTGTGGGTCATTTTCCAGTTGGTGGAACCCGATTAAAAGAAGAGAAGGTGAGAGTGAGCAAAACCCCAAAACAAGATCTGCTGTTCCAAGGAGACAATCTAATTTACTGAACTGGATTACAGAGTCACGTGGTTGAAACATTGGAACTTCCTCAAGTGTTGTAAAGAATACTAGCAAAATAACACATCAGTATTCTTAAATCTCTAGGTAAGCCTTGTTTGTCTCTTATCAAACTCTTTTGAGTAAGTCCAGTGTCAAGTATGGTTGAATCCAAACTATTTTCCTCCTCCTGATCATGGATATTTACCTGGCTGGAAAAGAATGAATTAACAGGAATAGGTATATATCACCACCGTAGATACTAAGCAACATATAGTCTCCTTCATTAGCTACATGCCACTGTTTCCTCTCATTTGTATCTATGTGTTCATTTATTTGTCCATCTGTTCATCAATATATCCTTCTTTTCATTCAATGAACAGTACTTTGTTAAGTAACATGTGGGATAAAACATTAAAAATGACTTAGACCCTTCCTTTGAAGAGCTTAACATATATAAATGAGGTAATAGGTTGCTTAACTATTTATACTAATGGACAAAAAGAAAACAAAACAAACAAACAAACAAACAAAAACCAGGATGTTTTGGTTTTGTGGATGATGTGGCATTTGAACCAGGAGTTGAAGGACAGGAAGGATGGGGAATTGAGGAGGCTAGAATAGCAAAAGACAAAAAATAGCTTTTGTAGTCCTATGTTGCCTTTGGGAGTTACATGTGAAAATTTTTATTGGCCTAGTGAGGCATCTGTACAAGGAATATACCAGAACTCCTAATGGAAGAGTTTAGTGAGCACTAGGGTACCTGACTCAACTGAAATGGCAGTTTCTCTCTAGTGCCAAGTGGCCACAAGGTGGTAAGTGAGGATTTTGTAACAAATAATACCTTCATTTGACTACTAAGCAATACAGATCAAATCTAGCTTCCACAGAGAGGCCCTGAAGTTTGTAGACTAGGGTAAGCAGGAATACAATAGGACCACTATTTAAAAATTGCTTATTTTTTTATGTCCTGTCAAACATAAAAAATGACTATTAGTATTTAGTCAGAAAACCTCTGGAGTTTTATTCTAAGACTGTATTCAAGGTTTAACCACAAAGTGACATGACATTGAAATGTAATGTAAAAACCCTTGGAGAGAGAGTCTTTGAAGTGACAGACATTTTTTTTAGCACACAATTAGAAATCTGATGCACCAAGATCCATAAAGTCCCGTTTATTTAGTTTGTTCTACTAATAAAACTGTGGGATGGCAAGTTTTCCCTGATACTCACCATCACTCCACTCCCTCAATCCCTAGGTAGATTAATCACCAAATGGTGTCTCAAATATCACCCCATTATAGTCTCAGTCCCATCATATTATTAACTAGTCTGGTAGGGTCATCATCCACAAATCATGGAGCATATCCCGAGAGCAAACTGACTTTTCTGTTACCTTTTTATGCCCTGAACCAAGCATAAAGTCGGTGCTCAATAATGTTTGTGAAATAAGAAAATAAATCAGTGATTGGCACCAGAAGCTTTATATACTGAGCAGCCCATCCATGTCTGTTAAGCCTACTGAGGAAGCAGGACTCCAGTTAGTGAAAGGAAGCCTACATTTGACAAAGATTCAGAAATATGCAGAGAAGGCCTGAAGACTGCTCCACAGTTCTTGGTAGGGAACAGGGAGAAAGGAAAATGCTATGAGAGGCCTCTGTGTCTGGGTCTTCTGATCTGGCATCACAGTGAAATTTAAAGAAACTAAGTAAGACTTAACCTGGAGAAAGAGGGTAGCCCTCACATGAGTAATATCTTTTTTCTCTGTGTTGTTTTTCTTAATTGTCATTATCCTAATTGTGCATTGTTTCTACTTGGATACAACTTCATGCAATTCTCTGTAGCAGAAACCATGCCATAAGTCTTATAACTGAGCCATAAATAAGTCAGTTCTAGAGAATGGCAGGGATATTTTTCCAAAATATGCATCAGAGACCATTCCAAACATCTGGATGATGCATGGACCTATATTCTGACAAAAATATACCATAGAATCTTGGAAAACTGGTAGGAATAACTCTAGATTCAAACAGTAGCAACCTCTCATGATGCTAAGGATGTGATTTCCCCCCAGATATTGACGGGAAAAAATCAAGTATGTGTCTGAGTCTAAATTACAAACTATGGGGAAAGAAGACAGAAGAAAGGCTATGATTTGTGCAAAACCTATTTCTTCTCCTCCAGATTCAAAATATTGTTAATTGCTCAGTCTTGCTATTCATATGGAAAATAGGGAAGGTGTGGATCCTTTTAATTTATGTGTTATTTCTTTAGAATGAAGACTTCTTGAGGATTTAAATGTTAAAGAGGTTTCTTAGATTGAAGTAAGATCATGAAGTTCAACACACTTTTTCCAGATACCAATGGCTGAGTGTCCTTGAGAAAGTCACTTACACTCTTTCTTGCTTTCCTGTTTTTTCTTCAATCGCGACAGTGATCATTAACTCTAGGTAATTACTTAGTAAGTTTTAAAGCTGAATTAAACATGCCAAGTATTTTGAAAACATAAAGGAAGACCGTTACTTTGTAGGTACAAACTGCATTTTAAAATTCTACCTCTGAAGCTGACAAAAGGAATAGGTAATGTTAATGCTGAGAAAATTATGATAGAATCACTGCAGGATCATTTAAGATTAGGCTTTCAACATCTTGCTTTAATCTACCCCCTCAAGCTGTTCTCCCCTTTCTCCTCATATTTCCAATAAATAATACCTTACATATGAAGAACTTTCTACTTTTACATATATTGTCATGGTAAATGAGATGGCAGTAAAGTGCCTTCCAAACACAGTACTTGGTTCCCTGGAGGCATTCAGCAAATGTTTGTCAGTTCCCTTTTCCCTTCTATGATTTAAAACATTTGGGAGCTGCCTTGAAGTCCCACAGCTAATAGTAAATGGCCAAAGAGGGACTCAGATGTATGCTGTGAGATGTTAAACTTTAGCAGCACATTCCATGGTGCTGCCATTGCTTAATACTGCTTTCTGCCATTTGCATCAGGAAAAAAAAAGTGGTGCCATTCTTGTGGTTCACCCCTTTACAACATTCCTTTAGTAGTGTTCAACAATCCTGAATGCAGTTTCCTTAAAAAGTCTTTCTTCCTTGGTTTCTGTTTAATTCCTGAACTGATAATCCTCATGCTTCTCTAAATTTTTCCATCTGTATCTCTTTCTGTAATTCACATACTTTAGTCAGCCGCCAAAATGTAGATAATGTTCCCAACATTCTGACCTCATTTCTCTCATTCCTCTTCATGATTCAGCAATAATCTTCAAACAGATGATTCCTAAAGTGATAGACTTCTGTTTGAGCCTAAGTGGAGACCTGTATTTCAAGTCACCCTCAAGTTTCTTTAGAGATAAATAGATTCCAATATTAATCAGCATTTTCTCTGCTCAAATCTTCTCTTCCCTCTCTCTCTTTACTTGCTTTTCAGGTCTAAAATTTAAGAATCAGTTTGGACTGTTTTCTCCTCCTGCCTTGTACGGTAATAAATTATAAATTTCTGTACTTTCAACTTCTACACCTTTATTCAACTATCCACCCATGGTATGCTGGAGCCAACAGAAGCCAACTGTTAAATTCTCAGAAATTTTGCACAAATGTATTAAAGATAAAGGCTTTACTCAAAACACACTGCTTCTTAATTATTTTGCATTTATGCTCTTGAGGTGAAACTAATATAGGATGATGCGAGCCTCTCCTGAGCTTTGCATTCAGAGATGTCACATTTGTACTTTGAAATCAGCCATGGTGGGAGGATCTACACTGAGGAAATTGGCAAATGTTTGTTTTCTCCCGCAGAGCTGGTTGTTACACACTGCAGCACCTATTGACTCTCTTAACTCATCCATGACCACCAGCCAGGGATAGACAAGAAGTTGCTCATTACTTTGTTTTTCCATCCACATTTGCTACATATTCTCATAAGACTCTATAGGCTAATATTTAAGGAATGCCCACCATGTGATAGGAAATCAGGGAAGTAGTGTCCAAAGTAAACAGGATCTTTTACTCATAGAGATTACAGTTTAGCAGGAAAATTAGATAGTAATTATATGAATAAATATGTAATTATAAATGTCCAACAACTGCTATGAAGTAAATGTATAGCATGCTGGCCAAGCACTGTTGAGGAAGTGTCATTTAAACTGACACCTCTTATGGGGC